TAGGGGGGTTTGCGTTTTTCAAAAAAACACAAAATTTATATTAGAATGACTTTTTTTCTACATTTAGTCTAAACTGTATCCTAATTCTTCTTATGAGTCGTCGCCGTCTGTTAACAATAGCAATAAGTGTGCCAACAACAACTGGCACAAAATGCCTTCTACCACGAAATCTGCCAGAACGAYCAGGTACGGAGCGGCAAACCCTTACATCTCCAATTCGTTGTTCAACTCGAACTCGTGCCCTGTTTATTTCTAAATTTGCTTGGACTTGGATATTGTTTAAACGACCGCGTCTTGGTCTTCTAAATGGAGTAACCAGAGGATAGGCTGAAGGGTATCCTCTATCTGCTAGAAGGTAGGCATTYCGAGGAAGGTGGAGCTGGCGCTKATAGCCAATGCTTGGCATGCGTGCATACGATGCAGCGTCCGTTCCGTGTCCTGGATATCCTCCACTTGAAAACTGAAAGAAACCGTCATTGTCGACGACCACATGAAAATTCAAAAAGTGAAATCCTCTATCTCTTCTATAATATAGACGTTGCATAGCACCTTGAGGTCTACTGATTTGTACCGCAAATGCGTCCACGGCACCGACGGCATTTGGTAACTCTTCAAACTCACCACGTTGGTCATTCCACTGATTGTCACTGTTCCAACATACCGATGAACATGAAAACTGCAATAATTGGGCATAAAATTCTGATATTATGCAGGGCAGCAGCTCTATTAAGTGAGTTGAAAGCATTTGATGCGTCAATAAGAAGCACAGCATCTGTGTTATYCGCAGCAAAGATGGTGTGCATTGCGTGGACTGCAGCTTCATTCCCTGATCTCTGGCCTGCACACAGCTGGAGAGAGCCACTGATTTGGATGACGTCAGCCTTTGACACATTCATCACGCACTTGCCAATGATTCTTCTCACTACCTCTCCAACTCCAATTGGTCTTACGTTACCTTCACCTTTGTTGAGTGGGATCAGACGACTTGCAACTAATGCCTCTATGGTGGTGGGATCTACATAAGTTGTACACAGGATCTTTGTCATTGTGACTAGTGATTCACAAAGCTTAGATGAGGATTGATTGAATGATTTACAGGCAAGAATTCTT